CTATCTCGCCATGACAACATACAACTTTTACTATGTCGACTTGTCAAGATAATCTATCTAGCCATGTCGACATGATATGTATATTATGTCGACTTGACAACATAAATTATCTTGACAAGTCGTCAAGTCGAATGGCACTTAGGTGCTTCTGTACAAAATATATGCTTTATGATTCTTCAATATTATTTCAACCCATCTAAGTGTGTATTGAATAAATATATGAACTTGGCAGCAGTTCAAAATAAGTCACACATGATTGCACATAGCTAAAAATAGAGAACTTGGAAAAACCATTATTTGCGATCACCCAGGCAACAGTTTAGTGCAGTGTTTCATTCAATGGTTGATGTTAAATACTGTACTCATAATATTAACTGGTTGAAAATCAGAGGTATGGTCATTTACAGCCTTAGAGCTATAGCTTAAAGTTAAGTTAGTAAGTTAACATTTTAACGGAATTCGAAATAGAAGGGCTTTAGGATAGCCTAGAGTCTAGGCTAGACCACCTTGCCCAGCATAGTTGGGGTTGAGGCAAGAAAATATATGGTAATAGCACCTAGATGGCTGGAATTTGATTAATATTTTCATTTATTCTTAATTTTGTTTATAATTTTGAAAAAAATTAGGGGGTGGGGACCCTCCCCTCGAATACACCACTTTTACTTTTGGTAAATTAACTTTGTTGTATGCTGTGTATTGATCAGACCGAAAACAAAATGTAAGTGCTACATAATCAAATGCTATAGAGCCGGCCTAACTGTAGAATGTTTGGATAAAACTTATGTCTGATATAAATAGTCTATTTTGATACCAAAAGTTAAAACTACAATTGCATAATAAATATAATGGACACAAAACTTCTCCAACTGTGTGGGTAGCCATTGAGCAGGTAAAGAATTCATTGATAATTGGCCAGGCAAAATAATTATAACTCCATGGCCAGAGTGGGACTTGCAAATTTGTGTGTGAATGGGAATTGCAACCTCTGTGCCAACCTCTCTTTCCCAATTTGAAAACGTCTTGCAGTTTGTACTCTTATACTATCAATGAAGCCTCAAGTGATCCTTACTTATTTGTTATGACTCACAAGATACAGTATAGCTATTTCTCAAAAATATTGATGAGAAATTCCTAGAGAGAATGTGATATTTTTTAACGTTTAATTCACAGGGTTATTCAAGATGGCCACCAGTCAGCTAAATCAGTTTTGGGAAAATGTTGATGAGAAAGTGCTAGAGTGTACCATATGCTTGAAGAGACTTCAAAATCCTAAATCCCTCAACTGCCTTCATACATTCTGTTTGGCATGTCTTGAAGACTGGGTAAGGAAGGAGAAGGGCAAGCTGACTTGCCCAACTTGCTCAAAATCATATCCCATTCCAGAGGGCGGACTTCAAAAGCTTCCACCAAATACTTTTATAATTAACTTATTAGAAACCATTGAACAATTTTCTGAAAAAGATCAGATGAAATGTGTTTGTGGAAAAGGACAGGCAAAATACTATTGCCAGGAGTGCAGACAGTACTTGTGTTCTGCTTGTAGTGACCATCATAAAATATTGCCAGTTTTGGCAAATCACAAACTACATTCAGTTGAGGATGTGCAATCGATGACTCCTTTAGAGATTGCATCGTTACATCCTCAGACGTGTTCTCTTCACAACGAGCCTTCAATTTTGTTTTGCTACATATGCAATGTTCCAATTTGCATGCATTGCACAATTACAGACCACAAGGTGTGGGAAGGGGAACACAAACCAATCAGCATTTCAGAAGAGTTCCAAAAATTAAAAGAAACTTCAGCAACATTGGAAAAATCAGCCAATGACTGCAAAACCAAATTGCAAAATGGCCTCAAAGATGTTATTCAGACTGTTACAGAACTAGAGAAAAGTAAATGTAAGAGTTTGAGCGATATTGACAATCATGTGCATGAAATGGTCAAGATAGTCCAGGAAAATGGAGATAAAATGAAGAATGAAGTAGAGACAAACTATCAAAAGAAAAAGAAGGTGTTAGATATACAAATAGATGAACTAAAATCAACCATATTTGGTATAGACACAAAACTAAGTTTTCTTAATCAGTTATTGAAGAGTGATGATGCTACAGCAATGCAATCAAGTGAAACATTAAATTCAGCACTGAAGGAGAGAATAAATGAATTGCCAAAAACAGAGCCTGACGATAATGGAAAAATTTACTTCTTTGTAAACAAACAGCAAATGGCTTCATTGCAACAATGTGATATTGGGACTGTAACACAATTTGCAGTAGATTGTTTAACATTAAAGGGAGAGGAATCTGTGACTCAAGGACAGACATTTGTTGCCAAAGTGGCAAAAACAGGTGAAAGTGAAATACCTGCAAATCAACTGAAGGCAAAATGTACACAGCTTATTGAAAAAACCAGCATCATGCAAGTTCAAGAAGATGACAATGGAGATTATTCTGTGACAGGAAAATGCACTAGTCCAGGAGTTTGTAAACTATATGTGAGTGCTGATGGTATACCAATTAAACAGTCACCAATGATGATCAAAGTAGAGAAGGAAGGATTAGTAAATATCATTAAAATAAAAAAAGAAGATGCTGTAAATGTAAATCGATTCCAATACAGTGGGGCAGTAAACAAAAATGTTGATGTAGTTAAGTGTGAAGATGATTGCTTACTGGTTTCATGTGGGACAAATGAAATGCTGAAGTACAAGCAATCAGGAGAATATATTGGTAAGGTTACACTACCACAAGGTGTGAAAGTTGACAGAATGTACAAAATGAAGAATGGTAACATAGCTTTTAGAGATACCGGTACATTCAATCATGACATCAAAGTATGTAATATGTATGGTCAGGTGATCAAATCAATTGGTCAGGTGATCCAAACATTAATTGGTCGTGGGTGGACGCAATCAATTGCTCATGCTCAAAGAATGTCAATGGATAATGGTGGTATACATGTAGATGAGGCATCAAATGTTATGTATGTAGCAGATTGCGAAAATGGCTGTGTGGTCATGTTTGGTATTGACAGTGGCAAAATGATGAAAACCATAGGGTGCCAAGGTCAATTAAATAGAGCAACTGATGTTACTCTTACAAATCAAGGAAATCTTCTTGTATTGGATATGGGATATGGATTACAACTATTTGATAATGAGGGAAGGTTCCTGAAAGTCCTTGTCAATGTCATAGCAGGTAATGGGAGGTATCCACTAGCAGTAGTAGTTGATGAAGATGACAACATCATTATATCAAGTAATCACAAACTAGAGCTATTCAGTAGTGATGGAAATTTCATTAAAAGAATTAACAAACCAGAAGATAAAATCCATCACCCATTGGGATTATCCATCATTTCATATTATCCAAGGAGACTTGCTGTAGCAGATAATGGGGACAACACTGTCAAAATATTCAATTATTAATTTGTTTTAAATTGTTTTAAAATCAAATTTTAATCACCTAATGATATATCAGTTGCCATATATATATTATGAATGCCTTCAAACAAATGGGTAATAGCATCACAGTATAAGATATTCTGCTGCTCTCTCATTAGTGTGTTATTTACATTTTATTCACTTGAATGAATACAAACAAATAATCGTAAGCAATCAATTATCAATTCAAAATTCACCTACTAATACTCAAATACTCAGACACTTTTGTTCATCCATACATGCATACAGAGAAGTGTTTTCTGCTGGCAAAATAAATAAATATAAAATCAAACTACAAAACATTTCTACTTAATTATTTTACAGAGGTTGACAACCAGAACCTCTGAATATATATAGTATAATGCCATGTAGAAATTATACAAATTATAAAAATATTATTAGACATTATTATATAATTAGCTGTTAGATACTTTGATATTAACATTTAAATAGACTTTGGCAAGTTTATTTTATAGGCCTAATAATTGCTTCATTTATACAAATTTGTTCCTTTTAGGAGTTTTATAAAAGTGTATTAGTGATATTATGAATTTAAGTACTAAATTCATAAATCAAAGAACATTTTTTTAAAATCTTTATTATATTTGTTTTGAAACAACAATATTAATAATATTGCTATTTGAGTTATGTGTTTCAGTAACATAAGCTTATTACTGATATTCATTCCTTATTTCTTTTTTTTTTTTGTGGAAATGAAATTACAAGAGTAAAATCTTGGGTCTTCACATTGGCATGGATTGAAGATCTGTTGCTAGAAATTGTACTGAAATACAGTAATGGTAAATTCCACCCCACATCCCTACCAAAAAAATGTAACAGTCCACTCCCCTAAGGAGGTGATTTGCTGAGGAGTAATAAGTTTTAACATGAAAGACTGAGACACAGAGCTTGCAAAAGGTTCGGTTAGAGAGGGAGTTAGGAAGTCAAAACAGGCTTTGGATCCTTGGCATGCCAATAAACATCTACATCCTACACTTTGAATTCAGTAGAGAGGTTGTGGCATCCCGCATGGTCCCCTACCGAGTCCATATTACTTTTATCAAAAGTCCTGTCTTTGATCTATGGTCCTGTGAAGGACTCGCGCATGTGACCACAGACATTCCCCTGGATATAAAAGAAAAAATAGTGTAGTTTTATATAGCGCCATATCCATCTAACATAGGATGCTCAGGGCACTTGATATGTGGACTAGGAATTCGAGCAATGACTTTCTGCACCCCTAAGGGTCCTTTCCTGTCTGTGTACCCGGTAACCCGGTACCAGCAACTCTCGTAGTCCTTCTGGAGGATACGACCAATGGATATGCGTTCTATAACTGGTTGATATAAGAGGTTTAATTGAAATTGAATAATACTATTAATAATAATAATAATTTAATACATATGAAACAAATATATAAAACTAAATTACTGTATATGATTTTGATAATTATGTCGTGGACCGGAATGATGCTTTACCGTATTTTCGTGTTCCCTAATACTTTTGTATGGATCGCTGCATATCATCTGCATAGATTGCTGTATCTGCGTTTGGCATGTCCGCATAGCATGTGGCTTGTTGTTATAATGCATTTGCATCGGCTGCAGTGCGAGTGGATATTTGATTTTCATTGAAGGAATTCCGTTATAGGAGGAAGATAAGCATTTTGTTGTAGTCTTTGTGATTCGATTCAGGTATATTGAATTGATTCTGTTTGAATTCAGTGCATTTATTATTGTAATTGCTACGTAATGCTCATTTAAGTTTAATGATTGTTTAAAATAATTTATAGTGTTCTCATAACTGATAACTGATTGCCATAGTATTGGTATAGTGGTTTCATTACAGGTGGTAATGATCAGTGAAGTTACAGTGATAACTATAATGAATGGTTCATTATTTTGCTTTCAGGATTTTTTTGTTGTTAATATTCATGCATATTAACAGTTTATAGAATAGTGCGAGATAAAGTTTGTGGCAACCAACACCGTAGTCTTTCTTCTGTTTGTCTCGTAATGCTCTCTACAACAATCCAACTTTGAGGAGCCTCACACGCTCACATCTAGAGGTTGAAGCTAACCGATCAATACCAGATTACTCAGCACCTCGACAATAATAATAAATGCTATTTTTGAGCATTTAAAAAAAAATTTTATTCGCTTCTATTTTACTGGACCTTTCTGGTTGATATAAGAGGTTTAATTGAAATTGAATAATACTATTAATAATAATAATAATTTAATACATATGAAACAAATATATAAAACTATTTTACTGGACCTTTCTATTTGTTGGTCTTTGAATTGTTTTTTTATTGAATTTGTAAATATTTAAATTTTAACAATGTAATCTGTTGTATGTACAGGGGTTGCAGACACATTCGTGTTATGGTGCATTGTTGCTGATGCAACCCCTGGACCGTTTGATGTCAAATAAATGAATGAATGAATGAAAATGCTTTGCTTGCAATTATAGTCTGGTTTTGAGTACATTATAGGAAATAGAAGCCGAAGGACATATTATTTCCCGAAAAATATTGCCAGAAGCCTGTGGGGCTGAAGGCAATAATGGCTCCTAAGGCTTCTATTTATTAGTGTACGAAATTACAGTTGCTAATAATAATTAATAATATAATAATGTAATATTGATGGCATGAATTGATATCATAATGAAATAATATATAATTTAATGATATTGATGGTATAAATTGGTATCGTTTTATATATAATGGTTATTATACATGGTAATAACTATAATACGTAATGGACTATTAAGGTATTTGATATGAATATTATTGATTATAATTTATGCAGTACTGTATGTTTCTTTATGTAGCAAGTCCCATCATGCTTTCCAAAATGTAGCAAAGATCTTTTCAATGCTTATTATTAGCAAGAAATGTTCCTGGCTGCTATTTTTTTTTAGTTTACAGTGAAATACATTCATAAAATATTTTCTTAAATATATATGTAGCAAGGACATATTTCTTTTTCATTATTTTGATGGTACACAAATTATCAATAACTATTTTAAAGTGGTTTATTTATAAATAATGTTATGTGGATAATTTATTTTTGGGGTGATTTTTTGTTTTTATTTCCTCTTTATTTTTATGGCACCATCACAAGTCAGTGGTGGATCCAGGAATTTGAAATAAAAGGGCCCGGGGAAGAACTTTCACAGATGGGAGGATCTGTAACACCTCAGCCCCACAATGGTTGATGAGGTAAGAAATGTATGATTATGAGACTTCTTGATGGCTGGAAATGGCATTCTCAGACATAAATTTGAATATAGTTTCTTTTTTCTCCATTGCTATTTAAAATTTTGACAAATTTCAGGTGGGGGCAGACCAGTTACCCAACCCTTCCCAAATAAATCCACCACTGCAAGTTGAAACCTTAATTGTTTGATACACCTTTAGCAACCAGGTTTAAGATTGATAATTTTCTAGTACAGAGCAAAATTTGAAATCAGTAATTTTGATTCTTAAATATTTATTTAGCAAGAAATGGTTCAGTTGCACATTTTTCTTGTATCTTAATTTTTTAAGAAAATATGGCTATGAAAAAAAAAAAGGAAAAGTGACCGAAGTTTTGGTTTGGACAGATAACTAAACAAACCATGCGAAATACTTTCATAGTATTTTTTTAGTATTTTATAATTTTCTAGTACAGAGCAAAATTTGAAATCAGTAATTTTGATTCTTAAATATTTATTTAGCAAGAAATGGTTCAGTTACACATTTTTCTTGTATCCTAATTTTTTAAGAAAATATGGCTATGAAAAAAAAAAAGGAAAGGTGACCAAAGTTTTGGTTTGGACAGATAACTAAACAAACCATGCGAAATACTTTCATAGTATTTTTTTAGTATTTTATAAGAATTTTTGCCTAATTATTATGGTTTCCCATAAATGCAGTACAGTAATGTGCTTGGAATGCTTTAAAGTATTTATTAATTGCTATGTTTAATTCATCGTATGATCGTAATGCTAATGTCACAGGATGCAATCTATAACATGATGCATTGTCACGTGACAGATGATTTAATGCAGTATTGTCACATGATTTCCAATGAGGGGGGCGCCAGTGGAGGGGCCAGGACCCGTGTCGAGAAGTGCTGGGCCCCTGTCAGGGAGTGCTCCCCCCTAAAAACACAATTCTCTGGGAAGAAAATTAATTACACATTTTTACATACAGACTCTTATACAGACATTTATGATAGTTTCTTGGACCCATTCTGAGAGATTTTGATCACGCCTATTTGCATTATCCCTCGACCAGGGACATTGGACCCACTAATATACTAACCCTGGCACCAATTTAAAGTTTATACATAAATGAAGTGCATTCTTTTATTTAATTTCAAGGCACATAAATACAAAATATATAAAACAAAACATATAAATTGGCATGGCAGATGACACATTGAGAGGTGACATATGTTGTAACATGATGTCATGTCATGTTTGTGTTTGAGATGATATAAATGCTAGAATATTATTTACTTTTTTAGCCTTTGTGCCTCAATATACAGTATGTGTTATCAGTTGATTTGTCAATATTCCATGGCATATTGGTTTATAGCTAGTAAAAAAAACAACACTCATTTAAATTCAACGACTGATTATAGGGATGAACAGTGTTCTCACAACTGGTAACTGATTGCCATAGTGTTGGTATAGTGGTTTCATTATGGGTAGTAATGATCAGTAAATTTACAGCGATAACTAATTAATGAATGGTTCATTATTGTGCTTTCAGGATTTTTTTTGTTGGCTGTTAATATGTATACATATTAAGTTATAGAGCAGTGCGAGATAAAGTTGGTGGCAACCAACACCGTAGTCTTTCTTCTGTTTGTCTCATAATGCTTTCTACTATCCAACTTTGAGGAGCCTCACACGCTCACATCTGGGGGTTGAAGCTAACCGATCAATACCAGATTACTCAGCACCACGACAATAATAATAATAAATGCTATTTTTGAGTTTTTCTTGCAATTATAGTCAGGTTTTGAGTACACTATAGGAAATAGAAGCTGAAGGAGATATTATTTCCTAAAATATGCTAGAAGCCTGTGGGGCTGAAGGCAATAATGGCTCCTAAGGCTTCTATTTCCTAGTGTACGAATTATGACATCACCACTGAGTGAAAACTATTCAGCATAAACTATGAATATTTAGCATATTATGCTGCTTTTATTTTGGTGGTTGAGACCACTATTTTAGCTAAATTTTTACAATTTTATAACAGTGGCAGCACCAGCAGGGGGGCAGCAGGGGCTCAATCCCTCCCACCGGCAGGTCAAGCCCCCCCCATTGGACAAAGCTCGTTGGGCAGTTGGACTAAAAAATATATAAAAATAGGCCCACGCCAAGCCAACATGTCTCTCACAATCAGTGAGTCTCATTTCTGGCCATCCTGTCAGACAGGGGGACTTGGGCTCTCAGCCCCCCAGAAAATATATCCTAGAGCCGCCACTGTTTTATAACCTTTTATCTTTATATTATAAAATGTTATGATGTGATGTTTGTGTTGTGTGTATCAATAACCTGTGAACAATCAACCAGAATTTCAAACTGTATATTTTACTGTGTTTGACAATAAAGATTGAATAGTTAGCATATGTACTGTGAATAGTTAGCGTATACCCTGAATAATCATCATGCAGCCAATACAATTAAACATCACACATTATTATTCTGCCCAGGTACAGTACCCATACTCCTAGAGATGTAGACAAAGGTATATAGCCAGCATGGAATTATGGTTGAGGGCAGGAATCACATCCTCTCTACTATACATATCAATTTTATTTTTTTTTTTACAAATCAATCCTCACCGTGAATTCATCCTGGCTGATGAAATGTACATAGGCTGAGCTCTTAATCACTGATTGGTAAGCTGACATTTGAATAATATTAACCTGTCTTAAACGCTCAGCCAATCGAGGCGCCTAATATGTTTAGATGTAGGCTGGTTTCAACACTGCACATCTCCCCCCCCCCCCCCAGCCTATGCCCATACTTGAAATTTTAATTAATGTAGATAATACAACAGTGTCTTCGTGACTGTTTCTATTGTCAGAAATTTATAATGCAGTACAAGAGAATTCATAGTTTTGATGCAATAAGTATTTAAAAATATTAGTCTGTTATTGAAATACTGTAGAATAATATGGTAAATTTTGCATGGATCTTACTTTGCATTATGTAATATACAGCTTCATTAATTATATAAAAAAGGTTTTTGAAGTAGCTCTCATTCTCGGATAAGGACTAAACCGTTTTCCCGGTGTACTGGTCCATTTCAGCCCCCTGTCCAGCCAAAGAAGGAGCGTTTACGTTGTGGCCCACGTCAGGTATACATACCTGCAAATCCTTCTACCACACTGTAAGCAAGATCATACACACTAACTACGTAGTAATTTCAGAAGAAGAGTATATTATTAAACTTTATAACCACTTGGTTCAGGTTTTCCTAGTAGAGGTTCTTTTTTATCCTCTTCTACTCTTGCATTTGTATCGTGTGCTTTCTTCATTTCATTCCGCCTCACAATTGTATAAGAAAATGACCCACCTAGAACCAATACATTACTCATCCACCACAAAGTTGTCTTAATATCGTGAAAATACATAATTGCGAGAATTGTCTGTGCACATGCTTTAGCAGTCCCACTAATATTATGCGTCAGAGGGCTTGTCACTTGAATCTGTAGTCCGCTAATGAAGCCTATTCCAAATCCAAAAACCCCTGTTATTGTCATTATCAGCCAGAATGTACCGCTATAAAATTGGTTAAAATTTAATATTTCTTGAATTTCACCAGAAAATATTAACACTGGGATAAACATGACCACGGCATTGATGTTATTGTAGTACATGAGACGCCAGATGTTGTTGTCAACGCTTGGTAGAACCTTTTTAGTATAGATGGCATTAAGTGAAACGCACAGACTGGCAAGGATACCATAAAACACTCCTTTGTAATTGAGAACACCTAATAAACATAAGAAAAAAACAAAAATTACAGTTAAGGATAGGATAGGAGTATTTCGATGTGAATCACACAAAGGATAGCCCACTAAGTCCGAAGACTTGTTTCCAGCGGGGAATTGGTCAGTACACCTGGAGACAATCCCCTACTCTTTTCGGAAGAATGTATTGTGTTCTTTAACATGCACATGGGCCATAATGCACACAAGACCAATGGCTTAAACGTCTCTTCCGAAAGACGGTGCGCTATCATAACTTGTATTTTAGCCCTCCAGCTGAAACACAAGCAGAGGCAGCCATGGGAATTGAACCGGGGACCTAGAGATCTCCACGGTTCAGCACATACACAGTGGCTACCACCCCTTTAGCTGACTGAGCTAAGCTGATCATAAGAAAAAACAAAACATATAGTTAACGATTATTCTTACACAAAAAATTAACAATATATGGCCACAAAGTAAAATACAGGTATACCTCTAATTAAAGACCTCTGCAATTAAAAAAAACCACTCGCTATGGTCCCAAATTAACAATATCTTTTATCTTTATTATTCTGATTACAGACTATGGAAACCCCCAGTCCAAGAAGTGGTCTTTATTTGGTAGGAAACCTGTATAAGAATTTAAGTACTGTACTATTATAGTTTACCTGTTATTCCCTCTTGGTCGACACCCAATATAAAGCCGCTGATGATCACTATGCAACAGATCAATGCTGACTTTGAAGTAGTTTGCTTTAAAATTATGTATGACATCACCTACAGAAAAAAGAAAGAAAAATCAACAACTATTGATATTCTCCAGAGTGCTACAACCAACATATAAATTACACAAAACTACAGAGGGCGCCATATGGATAGTAACTACAATATAGACTAAATTTAAATTTCTTTAAAAATATGTTTTGTCTCAAAATCTTATTCAAAGTACACAGTACAGCAGCAAACTGTAATAACAAACCGTCATTCTTGTATGTAATTACAGTAATAATATGAGGAATAGTACTGCAATATCAATAAAGTACAGTAGTTGGTCATTGTAGGACTACACCATAAATTGGTTGTTAACGTCTACAGAAAATTATTTCGCAATTTATTTTGGATTTTTTTTTCATGTGTGAGGTTGGGGTTGGGGGGGGTGGAGAGGTTGAGGTGCTCAGGCCCCATGAAAGCCCCCTGGGTATGCCACTAGTATACTGTATATTCACCCACCCAAGGCAACTAATACAATGAAAATTGTATATGATCATTATGTTCCCAATGACCAGAAAAAGACTTTATATCCAGTCCCCTAAGAGAAGGCAAACTACCACAAAAAGTATAAAATACAGCAGTTGCTTAGAAAACTGAAATACTCACCACATTGAAGACAGTTGTAAGGGATCTTCCAACGTTATAAAATGCAACACCAACATACTTCAAACAAAGGTTGTTAAACATTATCATACCAACAAAAACGAACGACAGAGGCAAAACCTATAGACATAGAGATATCGAGCATCATTACCAGATATTGTTTTTTTCTACTATATAGTTAAGTTGAAAATATAGCTTAATTCAAATGTAGACTACCTACCAATAGATTGCATTGATTATGACAACTGATAATGATCAATCATTCATCAATATATTACACATCTAAATGTATTTTTGATTGCTTATCGTGTACTTAAATTTTATGTTAATTTGCCTTAATTTTAATGTTTTTAAAATAGAATAATAATCAATTAATAACAGTAGCAAACACAATTTTCAACACCATGCCATGGCAATGAAATGGCTGATCATATACTGTATATTCCATTAACCTTTACCCTATTATTATTATTATTATTATTATTATTATTATTATTATTATTATTATTATTATTTGTTATTATCAATATCAAATAAATTATTGGATAACTTGAATCCATACCCATATAGATGGATAGACAGACAAGTGAAAAGATGAACTGATGAGTAAATTGAGAAAAGAACAAATGGATAATTGATAGATAAGTGGATGAATGAATGGATGGACAAATGAATGTATAGAGATAAATGATGATGAAGGAATACAAGAAAAATAGGTGAATGAATGATTGAAGAAATAGAAGAATGAATGAATTAATATATTTATGTAGAGTTTGATACTGTAGCCTACCTCTCTAGTCACACGGTAATCAAACTTTAACTTTGGGAACTCAATGACACCAGGAAATATATGTCCCAGAATGCTCAGTAAGACACAGAGTAGCACTGTTACGATGCATTGGTAGCAGGTGACAAAGATCGGTGCACTCAACTGAAATATTCATAAAAAACAGATTTAATATTAAATACGCAGGCCATGACATCTGGGCTCCAAATATTAATTGCTACTATCCAAAACTCATACATAAAAATTAACATTATGGATAATATTCTTCTGACAAGCTCTAGCGCATTGATATAGGAAGACGGGTTTAAGGTTAAGCATCAAGCCAGCTCCACCAATCAACACCTCAGATTTACATTAGGCCAGTCAGAGCAATATCTATGGCAAGAAATGGTTCAGAACAAGAAAATATAAATACCTTAAGATCCTCACTGCTAAGTAAGTATTTATTCAGAAACACAAGGGATATGGAAATAAACCTGTTGAGATTGAGAGAAAAACAAAGCTGGTCAAAAGACAATAACTCAAAAAAATCAATAAAACTACAGCATAACTGAAGCCAAAAAATGGCAATAAATCAGAAACTTTAATAATTCTTTCAAAATTGCAAATTTAAATGCAGTCAGGTGGTGATCCAGTGATTCCCCCCCCCCTCCTTTTTGTCACTGTATGTCATCAGTTTTAAGCATGAAATAAGCGCTACCCACTCACTTATATTCTGAAAATGTTGTGCTCCCCTCTCCCCTACCCCTCCCCCCTTGAAAAATTCTGGATCCGCCCCTGACAGTTATCTCGTAAGGCCTAACCAATAAAAGCAATAGTAATATATCCTTTATAAACCATAAAATTATTATTATTTTTTCTATAAAGTGGAGGTGTTTTTTGGGTGAGAAATGGAGAAAATCGTGTACTGTATTTTGGCTTAACTTGAACCATGACCCGGCGATTCGATGGCAAGCATCTTTCACAAACCCATTCTCACGTTCTATATTCCCCAGCCCAACAATAACTTCCGTCTTGATTTGAAATCGAGAAATTCACCCCTAATTAAGACCTTTCTTTACTACAACCACTGACAGTAAGTATAAACATAATTTACCCAGTATTTATGTCAATTTGATGGCGTCTAACCTAGCCACACTTACGGTATCCTTCGTTACGATTACTAGGCCTATGGCTATGCTGAAATACTGCGATGTTTCCCGTGACAAGCTATACTACTACGTAGTACTAGGCCTAGCCTCCTAGTTAGTTTTAAAATTAATATGACACACAATAGTCGTTTTGCCATGAACATTGCTATGACTCGGAATGAAAATCTTACCAGTACGATGCTACAGTTAGAGCTATTTGTAGGTATATCGCGCCAAGGCTACCCCGAGCTTTGCTACTCTGCCTCATCGTTGCTGTTGTTGGTACGCCGCCGCCGCCTCGGCCAGTGTTTCCGTCGTCAGGAGGTGGTGTTGAAGTTGAAGAGGAGTGTAATTCGGAATTATTATCGGTCGCATTGCGTGAACGCATCATTATTGTAAACAAACATTAATTTGTTGCCTTGTTTCGTGGCAATGCATGATCAGAGAATTAACATAATAATGACTGCACAAAAATTAAATTAAATTCAAGGTTATCCATTGTTAGTTATCACAATGCAGGCATATAGGCAGTGTGGCTATTGTATACATACAAGCAAAGAATATAGATACTTAGTTAGCATAAAAATGATTCTACCATATTGTTAATTTAAAATATATTAAAACAATGTTTAGAATATAATAGGAGTGATCCTTTGCCTACCTGTTATCGTACTGAATACTCAGTATGTTTACAACACAAATACTTACCAAAAATTTGCAAGTGATTCAGGTGAGAATCGAACCCACGACCTCCAGATATCTAGCCTGGTGTCCTAACCATTAGACCACTGAGCTTGCGCAGTAACTAGTTGAATCCGATCTCCAAGTAGCAGCGGTACTGCTAATGCTATTTTGACATGTGTTGGCATGAGGAAAATATCATAAGAGTGAATAAAAGGGACATTTTGTAGAAGGGCTATGCTTGATATAATTGTAACATCTTGTTCCTTTTTGAGCACTGTTATTGTTTTGTTGAATATTATATCCGATTCTGGACAGGACATTGCGTACAATGACTTCCTGAGGCATTCCTGCTGAAGTAACCATTGTCTTCACAAGTAAAAATCTTACCCAATGAAATGAGGCATGGATCTAGTAGTGGGGCATGGCTCCCCCCACTGAATTTTAAAATTTTAATGCATATTAATATTGTGTATTGAAATAAACCCTACTCGCTTATCTATTCTCAAAATGTTGTGCACCCCCCGCCCCCCCCACCAGGTATAGTAATAGAAGTTGGTAAAAATTGATCCACAGGTTAATATGCATGACACCACAGCTTACATGGATGATGTGCTTTCTCATGGAGAGTGTGTAGATAAATTTTCCATAGCACAACTTCTGTGTAAATTTTTGTCTTGTAAAAAAAACACAAACAACAAATGACAAAAAAATAGAAAACAACTACTGTAATGTCAATTAGCAAACAAAATTTATTTAAGATGCACTGGAATTTGACATGGAATTATATAGATAGTAGATACTCTTAAATGTAGCAGTCTCAAATATTCCAACAATCAGTGAATGCGAGCCAACATTAATCCTGTTGAAAATGTAAACATCCTGAATCACTGATTGCAGTCATGTTCTCCAGATTGTTGGCACCATACAACTTTACCCCCACCACTATCCACCCCAACCCCCACATTTTTTTATCTAAATTTACATACTATTCGCACACATAAAAAGGGTGGTATTTAACATAAACCATAAATGAATTTTATCATTCAAAATATTAATGACATTCCTTTTATATAAAAAGGAATAATTTTATATAATTCCTTTTTTTATAAAATATTAGGACAACTTGAGACTGCGATTTCAAACATGAATTCTTGCGTTGGTCATGAAAACTTCAATCCCTTCTTTGTTAGATCTCTTCTAGCTTCTTCAATTTCCTATAAATAAAAAAAAATACAGATGAGTAGATATCCACATGATGAGTTATTAAGCTCTAAGCTGGGCAAAAAAAAAAGATTGTATGCCCATATATAGTCATGATGTGCCCATATATGGTCATGATGTGATGTCATCATGACCATATTTAGGCAAGTCACATGTTTTTGTACAACACAATTTTATATCCTGAACAGGGCTTTAGATTTTTGTTTAAAATTTATGGTCAATACAAATGATTACCTCATTAAAATATTATGATTACATTTATATACTTTACAATGAGTACACATAACACAATTATTTTATTTATTCATATATTTATATAGCGCCTCCCTTTGCAGATGTAGGAAGACCATCTTTCCCTGGTCGTTGTGTCCACATGCTTATCAACCCCACCAGGTACACACTTTATATTTCAAGGTATACACAAGCAATGAAGATAAAGTACATTGCTCAAGGACAGTGGTGGTGCCAGTGGGGGCAGGGGGGAATTTTCCACCCCGTCGGACAGGCCTGGACGTCCCTGTTGTTTGATGCCACGACTAGGTCGTTGGATGAAAAATTAAAATAATAATTTGACTTTACAAATTGATTGCTAATCCTTAATAAACTAAGAGCAAAATTTGGACCATACTAAGCCACAAAAACTCTTCCTGTAAATCCTACCGGGAATTTTTTTTATTCTGGGCTGTCGACAGAGGCTCTGGTTGACCCTTGGCTTAGACCCCTCAGTCGGAGCCCTTGTCAGCAAATTTCTGGCACCACGGCTGCTTAAGGACATCAGTGGAATGTACTGCGAAGAATTGGAACTGGAGGTTGGGAAACCAAATCAACGCCCCCACCACTGTGCCACTTCTTTACTTCAATTATCATTATAGGATAGACTGCACTAGATATATACCAATTTTAAATTACAGTATAGTGTTCAGGGATCAAAAAGCAACAATTGTTGCTCCCTATCTCTAAGAAAAATAATGGCAACAGGTATAAAAAACAACAGCAACACAATGCTTTTTAACATACTTGTTTGAGTGATGCCGCGGCTTCTTCACAATCATTAAATGTAGCGACTCGGTAACCAATGACAGCCAATGAATAACTCTGTAAAAGTAACATTTAATAAACATCTGCTAAGAATCCCAATTTTTTTTTTATGAATAATAATAGAAATTACAATAGTACAGGCATTAAAATAACAATAATGAGGATGTTGATTATGTTATGATAATATCACAAGATAATAACAATATGGACATCCATTTGGATGGATGAATAGGGGAAAATAATTTCACTCTTCATATCCTAAAATTATTCCATAATGTCCCCATGTCTTTAATGAAAACAATTCAACAAAAAAATAAGGAAAAGCATTTATGGTATAACAATTGATTTTCCTGCCAGATAAATTCCAATCAATCAATCATTATTCAACCAATCAATCATTTATATAGCACCAATGATAGTACGAGATAAATGTTAAGTGGCACTCAGAACATGCGACTGAGAAAAGGTTAAATTTATTAGGATGAATGGATAAATGCATGCAGGCATTAAATAGAATGGTAAATAGGAAGACCCTAGGTAATAAATGGATAGGTATATCTTGAAATATTTTAAAGACCAGATGCCACATAATTAGTTCTGTGCTTGTAAATGTAAGAATCATACTTACCCCAAACACAATGATTAGATACACTGGTAGCTGTTAAATAAAATAAAATAAAATCAACATTTCAATTGTGTGGGTGTGGGTGTGGGTGTGGGGGGGGGGGGGCAGACGGTGCAATCGCACCCCCTAAATTGTATTAGGAAAAAGAATTGTTTTATTATATTGTTGATATGATTTACCAGTGAGAGTGCAACTTCTAAAAATGTTTGCACCTCAGGCCCAGCTATGCTGGGGCTGAGGTGGTGTGGACTCAAATTCTGCATCCGCCCCAGCAATGCAAACAGCTGGTGTTACTATTCATTGATCAACTTTTAGATATTGTACATTACTTGCCACAATATCAGAATCTATTTAACATAATAAACAACTTATAAAAAGACACTGAGGAGTGAAAACCCATGGCAGTTTGACTAAGATATTTTGTTGTCTACCAACTATACAGGAATTGTCTCCCAACTGTAAGGGAATTGTACTAGTTGAGAGTCCAAATAGGAGGTTGTGGGGTGGGGGGCATAAGGGGAAATAAGTCTATGTTTATTTATATATACTTTAATATATACCCAAAGTATATAAAAGTGTGTTATAAAGAGATATAAACTTTGTTTATTAATACAGTACTGTTCTCCACCCTGAAGATGGCATCAGAAATAAGTAAAGTCTGTGTCTATTGATATACATTTTTATATACTTTTATATACACAAATACTAGAAAAGTATTTAAAATTGTATATATAAATAGACATAGATTAGATACTACTATTCTGTGAGGTATTCTGTATTGTTTAAGTTTGCTTTAATTTGTTAGGTTAATTTTTTTTATGCATCATCTTGTTTTATACAGTACTGTTTTTATACAGTACTGTATAAAATTCTTTTAAAGAAAATCAGTTGTTTTTACTTACAGGCCAGAGAATTTCATATACCCTTGAGTCTAATTGTATTGGTACCAGTTGGAAAACAAGCGATGACCAGACAGTAAAGAACAAGGATAGTCCAAACAACCACTGCATCAATTTCGTCGCCATGGTGACCTGATTAAAACAAACAAAAGGATTTTATGCAGCAATGCATGGTGAGATACTCTAGATGTTCATTTAATTTCTATTTCATAACAAGTTCTGAATAATATTTAGCAACGTTTGATTGATATTAAATATATATTCAAGTTAGTTGGTTATAATTGGGTCCCTGCATGTGTTGGCTAAAAATGCAATAGCCAAAATTAATAAACAAATTTACATAAAACATGGAAATACACCTAGATAAACGAATTGTGCCATGCTCTATGTATGAATGTGTTTATGGATTGATGGTTAGGCCTACTAAGTACTACTCTACAGACAGCAGTAGACCTATCTATACAAATTAAACTTCAATCGAAGCAACGCACGACCGATTGTACATTTAGAAAGGAACTCTTTAACAATTATTCTACATTGTACATTGCATCGAGCAGTTATTACTACACCAAGGCGCTAAGGGTAAGATACCTCCGAGCTGAGCCTCCTCAGTTTCGACTTTCGACGTGGTGAATCGAAAGGCGATCTTTGCCCGACTTATCTACAGTTTTTTAAAGCCTGCCCTCGTTTAGCAGAATCCCTACCTAGGCCTAGCTATTTCGGCATGATTTCTTGACATTCCCTTAAAACTAATGGAATGAGTAAACACTAGTTTCACATTTTAATGTTCAAGCCAAATAAAATTCCCGTACAACCCACAAGAAATGCATTAAAGGAAAAAAAATTACCTTTACTAACTGCACAGCAGCGAGGTCAATCCATAAACCAAGTACTGTGTACCACGACGGTGATTTCCCCTTGGTACTGGAAACTATAGAGGGCGGAATTGTTATCGTTCTGTTTGCGTTATCTGTCCACCGATCTCTATAATAAAGCATAGGTTAAAGATTTCCCACACGAATACGAGCGGTACTGGGCAAAGACAACTTGATTTCTTGCTTCAGACAAGGTATCCATTTGTAGAAGTCTTATGAAGCTAAGCCTATCCAATAGTGACGTTAAAGGGTCAGGACCAGGACATACCTTCGACTTTAGATTGACAAATATATATGTTAAATACAGACACAATGTAGGCCTATACGCAGTCCAGTTAAAATATGAAATTATGTATCGAATGATAATGCAAGCCATCGTGTCGATAAGGAAGAAGCATAAGAAGATAGAAAAATAGGAAAGAAATTTGGAGCGGCTGAAATATTTATCGAAAATAAACAATAATAATCATTTTGGAATTATTGCATCATGTTTTTGTGAAAGTTTGTTGGCACTAATCTTCAAAGGTCAAGGTGCCGGTAGCCTACACTTTTCATATATAGGCCCTATATGAAAAGGTGTATTAATAAAGCTTTAGTACGGTAACGCTAGGCCTACCGTATATAAGGGAAACAAAATCGGATGAAAACTATGAATCTTACCTTGAATGATTTAGTAGTAGTGCATATATAAAAGAATATGCTATAATAGAGATCAGTGGTTCTGTCTGTTTGCTGGGTTCGTACTGAGCCAGAGTTAGTCCATTTTAATATATCGATTCTATAGTCGGCTTCCTTCTTTTAAGCAGTTTAATATATGTATATAATGATTTACTCGTGTAACTCCTACTCTTGTAATTATTTATGTATATAGTTTTTTAATATAATGATTTCATATTTTTTTAATTAATAATTTAATATTTAATATGTAATAATTTACTACGTTTTGCAGCTGTACTGTGCTATGAGAAGACAATCTTTCTATATAGACTATTTGTGGTGTCTGTTATTTTGCGAAATAAATAATATATCAGGATTAACAAAATTAATTAAATAAATAATAAAACGGTATGTCTCTTTATATATTAAATAATTTAAGATTAGAAGTTTGTTTTCTATCTTGGTCTCATTCTGTCACTCAGTAATATGTCATTTATATAGTAGGCCTACTATAGACACTTTTTAAATAATAATAATAATAATAATAATAATAATAATAATAATAATAATAATAATAATAATAATAATAATAATAATAATAATAATAATAATAATTTCTATTTATATAGCGCATATTGCAAGAAACTGCCTTTATGCGCTTAACAACAACTAAAAAGGATTTAAAACAAAAATAATGATAAATATAGTAGTAATAAGGTTTGGTGGCAAGCACTGCACGATCTCTTAAAATCAACCAACCTTTTTTATTTATGTTTATTAGTTTGTGTGAAAAAAAAACAAGAAAACAAATGTCCTAGTATTTTTCTTGCTTGAGTCACCTAGGTAGGTAAAACAACCACCTGTGTAACAGGAGCAGGTTCATGGAATTTAGGCCTATATCATCCAATTTGATATCTGCAACTTGGCTATTTTGAATATTTCGTTATGTTATTCTCATACATAAAATTGCATTCGCTTTGGCTTGTGGAAGGTGCTAATACACGACAAATACAATTTGAATTCCTATCGTCAAGAGGTGCCGCCGAAATAGGCGAGGTCGAGTAAATTTGTCGTTATAGAGCAAAGAAACTGTTCCTTTGCTCTATGATCTGTCACAATGAACAGTGAACAAAGGAATAAAAAGTGAAACAAGAAATATGGGCATTGATGGGAATGTGAACGCCAAGAAAGCGACACCGGGCTAGTTGAGCAAAGAGATAATGACAATGGATTCCTGATGATGACATAATTAATGTCGAAATATTAAATCCCGACACGATGGCTTGCATTTCATTTTGGAGTATGCATTATACTATCTTATCTGAGATTAATCAGTGGACCTTTCGGTTTATGGATTTGATTGTTAATAGAAATGTAGTGAATAGATTGGTATTAATGTACATAGGCTATCTGGATTTTTTATTCAAGTTTGGACATCAGTATTTATTTATTTATCATCATCATCCTCATTATCAACACCTCTCAGTGGTGGCTCCAAAAATTTGCAGACAAGTGGTCCGACAGGGGCCAAGGCGTCCAAGGACCCGTCTGATGCCTCAGCTACTAACTACCAGCTCGTATCGGCTGTTGTGACAGCTATCAATAATGAAATGTCGCCCTCTTGCGACCGAACCTTGGATTTAAAGGGACCACATTTTTAAATGTAATCTTCAATAGCATAAGTTTAAAGTTGGAATAAAGGATATTTAATTAGAATAACAGGGAGTGGAGATTTGCCACACACCACACCTACTCTAACCAAGTTTGGGTTAGCTGCTTTTTATATAAATTATAATACAGGTCTCCATCTAATTAAAGACCCCGTCAATTAAAAGACCACTTTAATTCACAAAAATATATTTTATCTTTATTATTCTTATTAATATTAGAAACTAAAGTGGCTAACGACCATGGAAACCCTAGTCCCAGAAGTGGTCTTTAATTTAAGGGAGACGGTAGTTATAATGGCTGCTCAAAAAGAAGAATAGTTATATGCCGGGCACCCACTGCGGCCGATGGTCATCGGCAGCAGACGGTGTCGTCTAGTGCTCTCAGATGAGTGGAGTTTCGCCGTGCGACGGCCGTACGACGCGTGAGTGCCCGGCCCTACAGGAATGATTATCAGTTGTTATGGCAAAGGCCCAACAAGATGAATTAATTTATCATTATGCATTCACTGATTCATCCATCCACCCGTCCTGTCTCTTATACACATCTAGATGTGTATAAGAGACAGCATTTATATAGTAGGCCTACTATAGACACTTTTTAAATAATAATAATAATAATAATAATAATAATAATAATAAATTTCTATTTATATTGCGCATATTGTAAGAAACTGCCTGTATGCGCTTAACAACAACCAAAAAGGATTTAAAACAAAAATAATGATAAATATAATAGTAATAAGGTGTGGTGGCAAGCACTGCACAATC